TCTTGTTTGTTTGTTTTTTAAAGTCTTGACACAAATATTTATCCTTCCTCTAGGTTTTCAGGAACTTTCTATGGCCTCTGTACTTAGCCTTGTGATCTGGCTATAGCACTAAAGTTATTTGCTTATATATGGAATTATTATGTTATCTTGAAGTAGAAGCAGGAAATTAAATCTAACTTTTCCCTCAGTATTCATTTAAAAATAAAACGGTTGATATTTAGGAGGGGGTCTGCTTTAGTCTTAGTCTTATCAATTATTTTTTATGTAAACAAAATTTCTAATATTCTGAGGATATAGATAATTAAACTCCTGCAGATATGCCTGCAGAAAAGCATGCAGGTTAGTGGAAGGGTACATGTTAGCACAGTGCCTTACATAGATAAAGCACTCATCTACTGGTCGAATGAATGAATGCACTTTTACCCTGGTGTTAATCTGTAATATGCTGCTATCCCTCCCCTTTTCTTTGTGGTAGGGCTAGTGGCTCCACCTTCAGTGCAGATAATTTATAGAATGTGTCATTCTTATTTCATTGTTATATTTACTGTTAGATAGTATCACGTTTTGCAGAGAGGAAGTTTGCATTTGCTTGCTAGACTCTACGTAGCAGAAATAAGATACTTTTTAATGTGTCTTGTAAGGTAGATATTAGATGTAGGAGGAATGTATATAAATATATTGAGGTCCTACTGACATTAGAATTTACCTTTGTTTTGTTTTCCATTATTACAGTTTGTATAATATTAGCAATCATATTTGATTATTAAAAAAGCTAGAAAATACTGAAAAACATTAATTAAAAAAATCTTTAATCCTGTTAGCAATAATCAGTTACCTCTTTTGTCTGACTTTCTAAGTATACTTGTTCAACTGTGTTAATTGTATTGGTAGTTTTCAGTATTTCACGTTTAAATATCATCTATTTGGAATGCCTGGATGGCTCAGCAGTTGAGCATCTGCCTTTTGCTCCCGGAGTCCCAGGATCAAGTCCCGCATCGGGCTCCCCATTGGAAGCCTGCTTCTTCCCTCTGTCTATGTCTCTGCCTCTCTTTCTGTCTCTCATGAGTAAATAAATAAAATCTAAATAAATAAATACCGTCTATTCATTAAAGATGAAAGACTGTGATTAAAAATAGCCCACTTTTTATAAACGCATTTATATTTTTACCTACATTGTGTTAGTGTCTTAATAATTGTTAAAAAAATACTTTATATCTAATGTAGATTATTTGTGAGCACCCCTAATGACATTTGACCCACTAGTGAGGATCACTGAGTAGAGCTATCCAAATTCATGAGTAAGTTTGCAAGTCTCTTTATGGGCCTTAGATCTTGTTAAACTAGTTTGGATTGCTTCAAATATGTACTAGCATCTGTGCAGCTCAGTTCTTTTGACTTGAATAGAGTTCCCAATTGTGATTATTTATAATCCATAATTGATCAAATTAAATCCAGCAATATTTTTCCTTTTTATGTAATTTTTACATGCAATACTTCTTTTTTAAAAAGATTTTATTTATTTATTCATGAGAGACATACACACAGAGAGAGAGAGAGAGAGAGAGAGAGAGAGAGAGACAGAGACATGGGCAGAGGGAGAAGCAGGCACCATGCAGGGAGCCCAATGTGGGACTTGATCCCGGGACTCCAGGATCACGCCCTGAGCCGAACGCAGGTGACAAATCGCTGAGCCACCCAGGGATCTCCTTTTTTTTTTTTTTTTTTTTAAAGATTTTATTTATTCATTCAGGAGAGATACAGAGAGAGAGAGAGAGGCAGAGACACAGGCAGAGGGAAAAGCAGGCTCCCTGTGGGGAGCCCTATGTGGGATTCTATCCCAGGACCCTGGGATCATGCCCTGAACTGAAGGCAGGCACTCAATCACCGAGCCACCCAGACATCCCTACATATAATACTTAAGGATTTTTTTTTCCCAATTCCAGAACATGTGTCTTTTTTCCACCACTACTTTATTATTCCTGAATTTGGTCTGTGATGTCATCTTGTCAGTTCTACCTATAAAATAACTTCTTACCCTGACTCTACCTCTTTGACTTTGAAGTTACTATTTCAGGTTTTAATTTCTCTTTTAGCGTTTTTTTTTTTTTTTTTTTTTTTTTTAGAGAGAGAGAGAGAGCTTGTGAGTAGGGACAGGGACAGAGGCAGAAGGAGAGGGAGAAAGAATCTTAAGTAGACTCCTGGGTAAGATGGGGCAGCACAGGACAGGACGATGGGATGATATGGATTCATCTCATGACCCTGAGATCATGATGAGAGCAGAAATCAGAAGTCAAATGCTTACTGCACTGAGCCACCCAGATCCCCTTCTTTTTAGTGTATTGTGGAAGCTGCTCCACTGCCTGTACTCTTTCCCTTTTGTCCTATTATAATGCTGATACTATTTTCTTCCCACTTGTAAGGCTTACCTCCTTCTCTCCTTTTTTTTGCAGCTTTCAGCAGTTTATTTTAGAAAATTAAAATAAATGTATAACAAATGAACTTTATTATAGAAATAACCACTCTGATCATTATGGTATCTAGTTTTATAGTTGTTTTCTTTGTATGTGTACATATGTATACTCTTTAAATTATATCAGATTGTTTCAATCTGGGCATTCTTTGACTTTTTAAAAAAATTCATATTTTTTGAATATTTTCCCTTAGCTGTCTACACTTTTGCTCTATATCATAGATGTATTATGATGTATGCCTTCTAGTTCCTGAGGTCCTCCATCCCTCTAGTCTCTCTCCCTCCCATTCATCCATTCTTTCTGCCCTTCTAACCAATACTGTAGTATCCTTATAGCTAAATTGTTTGGACAGATCCATGGTTATTTCTTAGAAGAGTAGAGTAATGGTTCTAGAATACGGCTCTGATTTTATCATCCTTGTAATGTGTATTTCATCTTTGTGTTGTGACCAGTCTGAACTTTTCATGTTTAGTCTGGCTCCTGCCAACCTAACTTTATCTCCTATCCTTTTCTCATACCCTCCAGCTACATCAAATCACATGTGGTTTCTAAAATGTGTCTTACTCATGCAGGTGTGTTTGCCCTCTTTTCTTACCCACCCAGTAAATATTTCTTTAGCCTTCTAGCCTAGCCTTTCTGGGAAGTTCTTGATCTTCCTAGGCAGTTAGGTGTCTCCTTCTTTGCATTTGTGCACTTTTCTCCTCTAATGCCACTAGAATATTTCCAAAATTTTAGAAATTTAGTCTCCTTTGCTAGGTTGAGAGTTCCGTACTAGCAGGGATGTTGTTATCGTTTCTCTCTTTTCAGCACCTAACTCATAGGAGGTGCTTTTTGTTTGAAGAAATCTGAGATCTGGGGTAAAGTCATCTCTAGCAATGGCATAATAGAATTAAATATTCTTTTAAATTCACAACAAAATACTGCGAGGGAAAAACTCCTTGATTGAAAAATACGTATGGCTATAGCATACAAAGTATCGTGTTTTTAAAAATCTAAATGTGTCATGAGTGATTAAGAAAATATATAACAGAGGTGCCTAGGTAGCTCAGTCAATTAAGCATATGCATTTGTTCATGATCCTAGGATCCTGAGATTGAGCCTCCTATCAGGCTCCCTGCTGGGCAGGGAGCCTGCTTCTCTCCCTCTGTTCCTCCTCCCTGCTCGTGCTCTCTCTTTCTCTCTCTTTCAACCAAATAAATCTCTAGAAAGAAAAAAAAAGAAAATATATAACTGAATAAGTCATGCATTTAATATTGAAATGATAATTTTTATTAACCTTTAGATAATTTAAATGAAATGGAAACTTTCTTTTCATTAGATTTTTATGTAAGCAACAATGTTTAATTATAATATATCAACAAATAGGGATGCCTGGGTGGCTTAATGGTTGAGCGTCTGCCTTTGGCTCAGGCCATGATCCTGGGGTCCTGGGATCGAGTCTCACATCGGGCTCCCCACGGGGAGCCTGCTTCTCCCTCTGCCTGTGTTTCTGCCTCTCTCTGTGTGTCTCTCATGAATAAATAAAAAATCTTAAAAAAAATACATCAACAAATAACAGTACAATGTTTAAAACTGGAGTCATGTAATGGTATCATGATGGCTTTAAATAGATTTAAGAAGAATTGAACTAAACAGAACCATAGGGGCATCTGGTTGGTTCAATTGGTAGAGCATGTTACTCTTGATCTTGGTGTTGTGAGTTTGAGTGCCACATGGAAGGTATAGAGTTTACTTAAAAAAATAAAAGTAACTTTAATTTTAAAATTTTTAAAAGTTTTTTTTAATATATATTTATTCATGAGAGACACAGTAAGAGAGAGGCAGAGACCTAGGCAGAGTGAGAAGCAAGCTCCATGCAGGGAGCCTGATGTGGGACTCGATCCTGGGACTCCTGGATTACACCCTGAGCTGAGGGCAGGTGTTTAACTGCTGAGCCACCCAGGCGTCCCAAACAGTAACTTTAGAACCATAAACAATAATCATTGGGAAGTTAGCATGTTTGGAGTTTTAAAAGACCAACATTATATTCCTGTAGAAAATGTTCATTAACACCATAATTAAGGAGAAAATCCTGGGTTACAATATAATCTGTTCTAATAGTGATCTCTTTATGTCCTTTTTGTGAGGGGGTGCTTTGGCTTAATCATACAAAATGATAGGTACTTTCTTAGGTTCTAGAATTCTTCAGTCTGAAAGTCTCCAAATTCTTTTACATTGTCTATTTGAATGTTAGCCAGTTTAAATATTTTATAATTTCTTTTGTGTTGGGCTAGCCTATAGTATATATATATATATATATATATACACACACACACACACATCAGTGTATGTATGTATCCATGTGTCATATATATATATATGTGTGTGTATATATATATCTCAAGTGTTATTAGCTGCTTAAGTTCTTGAAGTTTCCTTTGCTTATTGTCTTTTTATCACTTAGCATAGTATCATAGTGTTTGGTACTGCATTATGAGGTTACATTAATTGGTATTTTAACTTCATATTTTTCCTTTTTTTTTTTTTAAGGTAATGTGGCCTTAGATAACCTACAGATAAAAGAAAATGCTCTGGTAAGTTTTCAAGCTATGTTGATTATTCAGTTAATTTGGTAAGCTCCCAGAAATTCTTGGTTACCTGGTACCAGATAACGTGAGTCGTTCAGGGAAGGATTACTTGTTTAATGGTTTGCTATAGGAAAATCTGAGATTGAAAATTTGGATTTTTTTTCCCCTGATGATCAAAATGGTATCTTTTGGGAAATGGAATGTTTTTCCTTGACTTGACTGAATAGCTTTATAGTAGACATTTGTCTTCCTTGAAATAATTTTCTCCAAAATTGTCTTTACATATTTTTTTGGTAAATAAGAATTTGATTTTAGCAATTTGTCAAATGAATAATTATATCTTTGGAAATACATTGACAGTCCAGCTTTATAATATTATGGTACTATTAATAAGTCAGGTAGCTTTTTTGGATTCTAGCTCTCTATCCCTTACTTCCCATCCCCTTCCCTGTTAGGCTTTAAGCCTATTAGACTTAATTTGATTCTATGAAGTCACTTAAGAATGAGTTTATTTATTTATTTATTTTTAGACTTTAAAAAAAATGTATTTGTTTTAAAGAGGGAGAGTGCACATGCAGGTGAGGGGAGGGGCAGAGGGAGAAGGGAGAAAGTGAATCCCAAGCAGACTCTGCTGAGCATGGAACCTGATGCGGGGCTATCTCACAACGCTGACATCATGTCCTGAGCCAAAATCAGCAGTCATACTCTTAACCCACTGAGCCACCCAGGTGCCCCAGAATGAGTAATTATTCTTTAATAATTGATCAAATTTCTAACAAACTATAGTATGTTTATAATCCTAGTGTTGACTTCTGGTTGGATTTCTACATATTAAACTGTGTATCTAAAGAGAGTCTTATACTCAAAGTGCTCACATGACTGGTCTCAGGGAGGCCAGTTTTGGATACTGAAGATCCTAGAGATCGAACTTTGTCACGAGAAGTAACAATTAATTTTGTTCTCCTGAAAATAACTTGGCAGGCATGGTGGAAAGGGCATGGACCTTGTAGACTAGCAGACCTGGGTTTCAGAGCTAGCTCTGCCCTTTCACCAGCTATGAGACTTCTGGCAAGTTTCTCAGTTTCCGTGAGCATTAGTTTAATCATCTTTTTTTTTAATTTATTATTTTTAAAGATTTTATTTATTCATGAGACAGAGACAGAGGCAGAGACAAAGGCAGAGGGAGTCTTATACAGAACTCAATCCCAGGACCCCAGGATCATGCCCTAAGCCAAAGGCAGATGCTCTACCACTGAGCCACTGAAGCACCCCCAGTTTAATCATCTTTAAATTGAAGTTAATAATACAAAATGATATAATATCTCTGTTCCTTTGTGGCTTGAATAAGATTAAAAGTAGAGCCTGGCAAGTAGTGGGCACTCAAAATATTTAAATTTTCTTTTCCTTTATATAGGATGCTACAACTTTTTAAACTTTACCCCAAAATTTAGAGCTTAAGACTCTTTTGCTGGAGACTGGAATAAAGGTTATTTTTTTCTTTTTTAGGAAAATATTTTAGAAGGAAAGAAGTATAAATAGAATTGCAGTGAGAGGATATGTATGTAACATGCTTAAGAGAGAAATTGAAATCTCTCTCAGTCTAGTTTGAATTTGGGTTATAATTAAATATAATAAATTATTTTGTAATTAATTTTCCCCATTAATTCAAGCTAGCTTCCTCAATTAAATTGGATTGGTGAGAATTTACTTTGAATATGGCTGTTTACGTTTATTTTTTGTGAAAAATTATTTCATGAGAGTCAAAAGTGAGCATGAGACCAAACTTTTAGAAGTGTATAGTTTACAGTTTGTATCCTGTATAACTTAAAGTATAAGATGAATGCCCTTGAATGCATCCCCCTCTCCCTGCACTTGCCTCTTCTCTCTTGGGTGTAGAGCAGCTCTCTTACCATCAGAGAAGAATTTTGCTTTTTGGTTTAGAAGAAGATCAGTATTGCGTTCAATTCCTGTTCACCTAGAATGCTTGCGTAATCAGATGATTGGGTAAAATGATTTTTTTAGTTAATTGTTACCTAAGGTATTTCAATCACCAGGTTGATAGTATGTACTAAGGTACATCTAACAAAAAGGCTATTCTGATTGGTTTAGTTTTTAAAAATTATAAAGATTCGGGGATCCTTGGGTGGCTCAGCGGTTTGGCGCCTGCCTTCGGCCCAGGGCATGATCCTGGAGACCCAGGATTGAGTCCCACATCGGACTCCTGGCATGGAGCCTGCTTCTCCCTCTGCCTGTGTTTCTGCCTCTCTCTCTCTCTCTCTCTCCCCCCCCCCTGTCTATCATGAATAAATAAATAAAATCTTAAAAAAATTATAAAGATTCAAGTGATCATTGTGAATATCAGTTATTGTTTAGTACTCTGTGACTATAAAAGTTATTTGTGCTTTCCAATCCAGATAAGTGCAAGTTTATTTTTATTAATGATTGGTACCTGTCAGTAACTTATCTAAAATAAATGCTAATTTGGTTAGTAATAAGTAGGGAAGCTCTCTTTCCTTTTAGGATTGTTTTATTTATTTACCAAATGTTTTATTTGAGAGAAAATAGTTGTTATTATTTTCAACTAATTTTTGTGAAAGGACTCTTCCTTTTCCTATTCTAGTATTTCAGTTAAGCAGTGTCCATCTATTATTTTAAAAGCTCCTGGCATTTCCATTGGTCTTGGTGTGGTTTATTAAAACAAGTAACCAGTTTACCCAATTACTTTAATTACTCTTTTTTTTTAAGATTTTATTTATTTATTAGAGAGAGAGTGCAGAAGCGGAGGGTGGGAGGGCAGAGAGAGAAGCCAATTCCTGCTGAGCAGAGAACCTGACATGGGACTCAGACCAGGGACCCTGGGATCATGACCTAAGCTGAAGGCAGACGCTTAACTGACTGCGCCACCCAGGCATTCCTAACCATAAACACTTTTTCTGTTGCCTCTATTTATAGTTGTGTTTCTCTTGTGAATCTTTCCTCAGAGTCCAATTTAAGTCACTAGAAACTTTTTTTTTCAGGATGTCCTTTCTGAATTACTCAGATACAGAAAATTTATTTCATGTTTTTCCTTCGAGATGATTGTATATTGTTTTGGGGGGGATTTTATTTATTTGAGAAAGAGAGCGAAAGAGCATGAGGGGGGTGAGGGAAATGGGGGGAGGGGGGTGGCAGGGCAGAGGGAGAGGGAGAAGCACACGCTCTTCTGAGCAGGGAGCCCAATGTGGGGCTTGATCCCAGGACCCTGGGTTCATAACCTGAGCAGAAGGCAGACGCTTAACCAACTGAGCCATCCAGGCACCCCAAGGTGATTGTGTATTTAAATGATGATACAAAGGTGATTTTGTGGGAGCTTAATAATTTAAGATGTCTTTAAATTTTTTTTCTTCCTTTCTAAGAGTGAATTGGATGTTCCTTTTAAAGTCAAAGCTGGCCAAATTGGTAAGTACTCTTCACTTGAGTTATTCTTAGTCCTTTAAGTTTTTTTTTTTTAATTTTTATTTATTTATGATAGTCACACACAGAAAGAGAGAGAGAGAGAGGAAGAGACATAGGCAGAGGGAGAAGCAGGCTCCATGTACTGGGAGCCCGACGTGGGATTCGATCCTGGGTCTCCAGGATCGCGCCCTGGGCCAAAGGCAGGCACTAAACTGCTGCACCACCCAGGGATCCCAGTCCTTTTAGTTTTTTATTTTTCCTGTGTTATTTAATCTAAAACATTTTTTAGCTTGGACAAAAATGTGAGAGGTTTTGGAGTTCTGGGCCTAATATATGCTATTGTAATACATAGATACTTTAAGATTTTGACAAAAGGGTAGAAAATTACCCTCTTAAAAAAAAAGACATTTGAAAGGCAATGATACTTATTAGGCTTTGATTCTACTGCACGAAACATATCTTGATATTCAAAATTGATATTTAAGTTTTGTATGCTTTTTCTTTATATGTGAAAGGGATATAATTTGCAAAACTCTAGTAAATATAATTCAAGTATAGCTTATTTCCCTCATATTTTGTTCAACCATCTGGATATATTATGCAGCAACGTAGTATAGAGGATATGTCTTGGTAAGTAGAAAGTCTTTGCAGCTAAACTTTTTTTTTTTTAAAGATTTTATTTATTTATTCATGAGAGACACATTGAGAGAGAGAGAGGCAGAGACGCAGGCAGAGGGAGAAGCAGGCTCTATGCAGGGAGCCTGACATGGGACTCGATCCTGGGGGTCTCCAGGATCACGCCTTGGGCTGAAGGCGGCACTAAACCGCTGAGCCATCGGGGCTGCCCTCAGCTAAACTCTTTTTTTTTTTTAATTTTTAATTTTTAATTTTTAATTTTTTAATAAATTAATTTTTATTGGTGTTCAATTTACCAACATACAGAATAACACCCAGTGCTCATCCCATCAAGTGTCCCCCTCAGTGCCCGTCACCCATTCACCCCCACCCCCCGCCCTCCTCCCCTTCCACCACCCCTAGTTCGTTTCCCAGAGTTAGGAGTCTTTATGTTCTGTGTCCCTTTCTGATATTTCCTACACATTTCTTCTCCCTTCCCTTATATTCCCTTTCACTATTATTCATATTCCCCAAATGAATGAGAACATACACTGTTTGTCTTTCTCCGATTGACTTACTTCACTCAGCATAATACCCTCCAGTTCCATCCATGTCGAAGCAAATGGTGGGTATTTGTCGTTTCTAATGGCTGAGTAATATTCCATTGTATACATAAACCACATCTTCTTTATCCATTCATCTTTCGATGGGCACCGAGGCTCCTTCCACAGTTTGGCTATCGTGGACATGGCTGCTAGAAACATCGGGGTGCAGGTGTCCTGGCGTTTCATTGCATCTGAATCTTTGGGGTAAATCCCCAACAGTGCAATTGCTGGGTCATAGGGCAGGTCTATTTTTAACTCTTTGAGGAACCTCCACACAGTTTTCCAGAGTGGCTGCACCAGTTCACATTCCCACCAGCAGTGTAAGAGTGTTCCCTTTTCACCGCATCCTCTGCAACATTTGTTGTTTCCTGCCTTGTTAATTTTCCCCATTCTCACTGGTGTGAGGTGGTATCTCATTGTGGTTTTGATTTGTATTTCCCTGATGGCAAGTGATGCAGAGCATTTTCTCATGTGCATGTTGACCATGTCTATGTCTTCCTCTGTGAGATTTCTCTTCATGTCCTTTGCCCATTTCATGATTGGATTGTTTGTTTCTTTGCTGTTGAGTTTAATAAGTTCTTTATAGATCTTGGAAACTAGCCCTTTATCTGATATGTTATTTGCAAATATCTTCTCCCATTCTGTAGGTTGTCTTTTAGTTCTGTTGACTGTATCCTTTGCTGTGCAAAAGCTTCTTATCTTGATGAAGTCCCAATAGTTCATTTTTGCTTTTGTTTCTTTTGCCTTCGTGGATGTATCTTGCAAGAAGTTACTGTGGCCAAGTTCAAAAAGGGTGTTGCCTGTGTTCTCCTCTAGGATTTTGATGGAATCTTGTCTCACATTTAGATCTTTCATCCATTTTGAGTTTATCTTTGTGTATGGTGTAAGAGTGGTCTAGTTTCATTCTTCTTCATGTGGATGTCCAATTTTCCCAGCACCATTTATTGAAGAGACTGTCTTTCTTCCAGTGGATCGTCTTTCCTCCTTTATCGAATATTAGTTGACCATAAAGTTCAGGGTCCACTTCTGGGTTCTCTATTCTGTTCCATTGATCTATGTGTCTGTTTTTGTGCCGGTACCACACTGTCTTGATGACCACAGCTTTGTAGTACAACCTGAAATCTGGCATTGTGATGCCCCCAGATATGGTTTTCTTTTTAAAATTCCCCTGGCTATTCGGGGTCTTTTCTGATTCCACACAAATCTTAAAATAATTTGTTCTAAGTCTCTGAAGAAAGTCCATGGTATTTTGATAGGGATTGCATTAAACGTGTAAATTGCCCTGGGTAACATTGACATTTTCACAATATTAATTCTGCCAATCCATGAGCATGGAATATTTTTCCATCTCTTTATGTCTTCCTCAATTTCTTTCAGAAGTGTTCTATAGTTTTTAGGGTATAGATCCTTTACCTCTTTGGTTAGGTTTATTCCTAGGTATCTTATGCTTTTGGGTGCAATTGTAAATGGGATTGACTCCTTAATTTCTCTTTCTTCAGTCTCATTGTTAGTGTATAGAAATGCCACTCATTTCTGGGCATTGATTTTGTATCCTGCCACGCTACCAAATTGCTGTATGAGTTCTAGCAATCTTGGGGTGGAGGCTTTTGGGTTTTCTATGTACAGTATCATGTCATCGGCGAAGAGGGAGAGTTTGACTTCTTCTTTGCCAATTTGAATGCCTTTAATGTCTTTTTGTTGTCTGATTGCTGAGGCTAGGACTTCCAGTACTATGTTGAATAGCAGTGGTGAGAGTGGACATCCCTGTCTTGTTCCTGATCTTAGGGGAAAGGCTCCCAGTGCTTCCCCATTGAGAATGATATTTGCTGTGGGCTTTTCGTAGATGGCTTTTAAGATATCGAGGAAAGTTCCCTCTATCCCTACACTCTGAAGAGTTTTGATCAGGAATGGATGCTGTATTTTGTCAAATGCTTTCGCTGCATCTAATGAGGATCATATAGTTCTTGGTTTTTCTCTTGCTGATATGATGAATCACATTGATTGTTTTACGAGTGTTGAACCAGCCTTGTGTCCCGGGGATAAATCCTACTTGGTCATGGTGAATAATTTTCTTAATGTGTTGTTGGAGCCTATTGGCTAGTATCTTGTTGAGAATTTTTGCATCCATGTTCATCAGGGATATTGGTCTGTAATTCTCCTTTTTGGTGGGGTCTTTGTCTGGTTTTGGAATTAAGATGATGCTGGCCTCATAGAATGAATTTGGAAGTACTCCATCTCTTTCTATCTTTCCAAACAGCTTTAGTAGAATAGGTATGATTTCTTCTTTAAACGTTTGATAGAATTCCCCTGGGAAGCCATCTGGCCCTGGACTCTTGTGTCTTGGGAAGTTTTTGATGACTTCTTCAATTTCCTCCCTGGTTATTGGCCTGTTCAGGTTTTCTATTTCTTACTGATCCAGTTTTGGTAGTTTGTGGCTTTCCAGGAATGCGTCCATTTCTTCTAGATTGCCTAATTTATTGGCGTAGAGCTGTTCATAATATGTTTTTAAAATCGTTTGTATTTCCTTGGTGTTGGTAGTGATCTCTCCTTTCTCATTCATGATTTTATTAATTTGAGTCTTCTCTCTCTTCTTTTTAATAAGGTTGGCTAATGGTTTATCTATCTTATTAATTCTTTCAAAGAACCAACTCCTGGTTCTATTGATCTGTTCCACAGTTCTTCTGGTCTCAATTTCGTTGAGTTCTGCTCGAATTTTAATTAACTCTCTTCTTCTGCTGGGGGTCGGGTCGATTTGCTGTTTTTTCTCTAGCTTCTTTATGTGTAAGGTTAGCTTTTGTACTTGGGTTCTTACCAGTTTTTGAATGGATGCTTGTATTGCGATGTATTTCCCCCTCAGGACTGCTTTTGCTGCATCCCAAAGATTTTGAACGGTTGTATCTTCATTCTCATTAGTTTCCATGAATCTTTTTAATTCTTCCTTAATTTCCTGGTTGACCCTTTTATCTTTTAGCAGGATGGTCCTTAACCTCCACGTGTTTGATGTCCTTCCAAACTTCTTGTTGTGATTTAGTTCTAATTTCAAGGCATTATGGTCTGAGAATATGCAGGGGATGATCCCAATCTTTTGGTATTGGTTCAGACCCGATTTGTGACCCAGTATGTGGTCTATTCTGGAGAAAGTTCCATGTGCACTTGAGAAGAATGTGTATTCAGTTGAGTTTGGATGTAAAGTTCTGTAGATATCTGTGAAATCTATCTGGTCCAGTGTATCATTTAAAGCTCTCGTTTCTTTGGAGATGTTGTGCTTAGAAGACCTATCGAGGGTAGAAAGAGCTAGATTGAAGTCACCAAGTATAAGTGTATTATTATCTAAGTTCACTTTGGTTAATAATTGGTTTAAGTATTTGGCAGCTCCCACATTCGGGGCATATATATTGAGGATTGTTAAGTCCTCTTGCTCAGCTAAACTCTTAACACTGAGATCATCCATAACTAAACATTCATCTTTGTTGAAGAAATTTTTAGTAGAACAATAACTGTGAAGTCCTCTCAACTGTTCCATACTTACCTGATTTTCACTTTTTTAAAATGTAATTTATACCTCTAGACAACTTGCTGTTACTTTAGAATTTTCATTTATGCCACCATCATTCCTTCCACTTCCATCACCCTGCTATTTCACCATGTGGCTTTCCTTCTTCACTTATTTTATATTCAAGAAAGGTATTGTCTCACTATTCTAGCATCTCTTAGCAATTACTTGAATACTTCTGTTTGAGTCTACTTATATTACCTATACATGTTCCTTTTTTTTTTTTTAAGATTTTATTTATTTGACAGAGAGAGTGAGAGAGAGCACAAGCAGGGGGAGTAGTAGGCAGAGGGAGAGGGAGAAGCTGGCTCCCTGCTAAGTAGGACATGGGCTCAATCCCAGGACCCTGGGATCATGACCTGAGTCGAAGGTAGACGCTTAACTGACTGAGCCACCCAGGCACCCCCATATGTGTTCCTTTTAATTTAAAATAACACTTTTGTGTTTCTGTCCCTTGAAACAGGAGATACTCCCTTAAATTGAAAGCTTCAGGCCATGCATTATCTTTTTTGTTTGTCTGTTACACAGAGCCTTGTGCTGTGTGAAGTGCTGATATTTAGCTATGGTGGTATCTAGTATTGCCACTCTGCATGCTGAATTGAAATACTACAATAAAGTTAAAGTCATTCTTTCATTTTTTTTTACCTTTGAGATATTTATGCACACATTGCTATGTGCAAGATTATGTAGGTAGCTGTGGGAGAGGCAAGGATAAATAGATATTTGTCTTTAAGGAAGTTTCAAATTTAGGACATAGTATTGAAATTGCATTTCCAGAGTATTAGATGAGTTATATTTGTCTAAAGAACTATTACATTATTTATTATGTTATTAGAACTGGGTTTATATTTTAGAAGAGGTTTGCTAATGTTTCAGAATTTGTTCTTTTTTCTTTTTCAATTATTAAAAGAATTAAATGACATTCTTTAGGATTACTCACTGACCATCTACATATAAGGATGCAAAGCATATTTTTTAAAAAATTTATCTCTTTTTTGGTTTATGGAGCATTTATATTAGTTATTAAACTTTTATTAGGTTAAAATATTATACCTAACCTGTGAAGTTAGTGTGACTAAGTTAAGCTCAAGTATGTTTTGGTTTGGGATGCCTGGGTGGCTTAGTGGTTGAGTGTCTGCCTTCTGCTCAGGGCCTGATCGCAGGGTCATAGGATCGAGTCCCACATTGGGGTTCCTGCAGGAAGCCTGCTTCTCCCTCTGCCTATGTCTCTGACTCTCCTCTCTCTCTCTCTCTCTCTCTCTGTTGTGTTTCTCATGAGTGAACAAATAAAATCTTAAAAAAAAAAGAATGTTTTGGTTTTCTAATAGCTAAACTGTGAGTTGGTTATCCTTTTACTTAAAAATAAAAAATTAAAAAAAATAAAAAATAAAACATTTCCTGTTCTATAAATGGGAAGCAATGATATAACTCAATTCCAGTGGAATTCAGGCTAATGAAGGATAGGAGGAAAAATGCGTTAGGGTAAATGGAGAGAAGAAAAGGTAGAGGGGACAGACAATCCCTTTTCCTTAAGCTATAGGGCTAAAGGGACATTTTCAACTTTTTCAGTCTCATGCTCACCATAAAGGCAATCAAATCAGCTTTATTTTTTTTTCTAAGATTTTATTTAATTTTAGAGAGAGAGAGAGTATGGGCATACATGAGCAGGGAAAGGGGCAGAGGCAGAGGGAGAAGGAGAAGGAGAATCTTGAGCAGACTCTGAGCTAAGTAATCATGGGGCCTGACAGAGGGCTCCATTCTGTTACCCTGAGATTATGACCAGGGCAGAAATCAAGAGTTGGATGCTATCCACTGAGCCACCCAGGTGCCCCTCAAATCAACTTTTTAGGAGTTTATGAGTTAACTACATATATAGCAATATTTGTTATAAATACAAGTGATTTTCACTGTAAAGTTATCAGACTTAGAAATGGACCAGGAGTATACTGGCATTACCTCTAGACTCCCCTGACATGGGAGCTGTTTAGGAAACTCAACAGGTTTATAAACTGAAGAAAAATAAAATTTAGATGGAGAAATAATTTGAGATTTTAACCCTGGGAATAGATTCCCAGGTAAAACTGGCTTACCTGCATAAGCCATGCAGGTGCATCAAAATATGCTCCCTTAAGTTGCATTATTTTATTTCCTCTTCAGCTTATTATCCGGTTAAACAGTTCCTTGAACTTTGGCATCTTTATTTAAAGATGCCAGTGATTCTGGTGGTATAAGTAGTTGAGTCATTCTGGCATCCACACTGATGACTTGGGTAGACTTATGTCATTTATTTAACTTCTCTGGGAATGAATTTCTTGTTTTCAAAATTGAAATAAAAGCTGTCTCATCCCTTCTTACAGGTTGGGAATATTAAATGAAATGATATCAGAAAGTTTGGAAAGCATAAAGCACAATATACATAGTTACTTCTAATAGTAATTAATATGGAAGAAATCTTTGCAAACTTCAGTATTGGGGTTTTTTTCTTTTTTCTTTTTTTCCTGAGTTAATATACATACTATATGTGTGAAGGGTTTTGTTATACTTTTTCTCTAGATGGAAAGTGGGAAATGTGTATTTTCTGGAGCAGCCCAAATAAGAATTTAAGGTTGAAATTATATTTCTTTAGATAAATTAACTTTGAAGATTCCTTGGAAGAACCTTTATGGAGAAGCAGTTATTGCAACCTTGGAGGGACTATACCTGCTTGTTGTCCCTGGAGCAAGTATGTTGTATTAGGTTATATCCATTCAGTAACAGCATAGTGAAATTAAATTGTTAACCTTGGTTAAGTATTTTAAAATGTTTAATAAAATAGATAATTCAAATAAACTAATCAATACATATATACATGTATTTTACATATATGCACATATATATTGCCACATTTGTATACAAAATAATTTATGTTGTAAGAAATTATTCCTTTTTTTAACCATTTGTTAAATTCTCTGTGAATAATTATTTTGCAGCTAAGTCTTCATTTTGAGTTGAGATGCATTAAATAATTTACTTTTGAAGAATGAAGTGAATTAAGTTTTTAAAAATGTACTGATGTGTTAATATACAGATTTAAAGAATGGAGATTTTTTTCTCTATTTTTTTGCTTCTGATTTTGAGGAATGTTCAAAAATGTGTGAAATAGGTCATTTTTTCATCGTAAATGAATGCATTTTAATTTTTAATGAATGTTGTAAAGCAGTAGTGTTTATTTAAGCAATATGTTTATTTAAGCAATGTATTTTCAGTTATAAGAATAATTTAATGTTAAGAAAAGTTTGGATATTTTAGGGAAAAATTACTTGTTCTCCCAATCATAAAGCAAACACAATTTTTATTTTTATATTTTGCTTTCCATTCTTTACCATATACATATTTGAGTTGATATATATCACATATAGACAACATGAATCTGAGTTTTTTACTTAATGTATGTATTTTTGATATGTGATAGTGGTAATTTTGAAAGGCTGTATGATATTTCATTGTGAGATGCCTACTGTTTTGGGCTGTTACATTGAACATTATAAACACCTTATTCTTAGAGATACCATTTTTGTTCTTTTGTGTTATTTCCTTAGGATACAGTATCAGAAATGAGATTTCTGGATAAAAAGGAAATATTTTTTTTTCTGATTGTTGATATATATTCTTGAGTTACTTTCTGAAAGTCTTTAATCTATATTGATACCAGCTAGTATTAGATTACATGTTTATTATACTTACTCAAAATTTTACCCCTCAGACAAAATAACTGGAAATTTTCTGATACATTTTCTGCCTGCCTTTTGTTTCTCCCTTTTACCTTTCTACTCACTCTTTCCCACTTAACCTTTTTTCCTTTTTCCTTTCTCCCTTTAATTCCGTTCTTTCTTCCTTTCTATTTTGATGAAAGCTTTGTAAATAAATAGGAGTTATTTATGTTTAAACTTTCTGTAAAACTAATTTAAAGAATGCAACTCTTTTGAGTTACAAAAAAAATGGCTTACAAGACTTACAGTACAAATACACAATCATAATGAGGTTGAACTTTTCCTCTTTATTTAATAATTGCATTTCCTAGTGTATGAACTAATTATATATTTTTAGGTATTAAATATGACGCTGAAAAAGAAGAAAAATCTTTGCAAGATATTAAACAGAAAGAGCTATCCCGAATTGAAGAAGCCCTTCAAAAAGCGGCAGAGAAAGGTATGTTTATGTTTTAGATAAATTTATATATATCTGTATTTTAGATAATGCACTGTAGGGAGGATGCTTTCATAAGACTCCATAAGTTGTCATTCCAAAGAAAGAATATTCTTTTAAGATCATATCTCAAAATACCGATTACAAATATTATAATGACTCACATTTAGAAATCATTGCCATGTGATTGTTTTATCTGCCAGTTTAATTTTCCCACTTTCCTCAACCAGTTGTTTTTATTGTGACTTTTCTGTGAGTTTTTGCAGGCCTGTTTGTTTTTGCCAAATGTTAATAGATTATTATACTTCTACATTTTTAGGTATATCCATGGATATATCTATGAGGATAATGAGGTTCAGCGTATCAATATAGTGAAATAATGTTTAGAAGAAATGGTGCTATAATTCTGTTGTTAGCTGTATCTCTTTATTATTATATAGGATATTTTTAAAAACTTGGTTCTTCAGATTTCAACATTTTAACATCTTGCCTTAAGTTTTAATTTTTTATTTTTATCTAAAAATAAATCTGATGACTTTTTTGATTTGGAGCAAGAATAAGGATAAGGATAAGATGAAAAAGCAGTCTATAAGGCAAATACGTTTAAGAACTTTTCCAAACCTCCAGTTTTTCTCTTTCAAGTGAAATCACACTCTGGTTGCTGATTCTCTAACTCACTCTCTGTGTGAGAGTTATTAGCATTTTATATCATTTTTGTATCATTTGGTTGGCATGTTTATGTATTTCTGTGATGAAAGAGGATGATACCACAAATGCTAATGCATTTCTCTTTGGTCTCTCTTAAAAGATATGGCAAACCTTGAATTAGAAATGACAGAAATTATATTCAGATATACTAAGATTTTGTTTTCTAGTTTAAGCTACTAATGTTTAATTGAATCAGTAAGAAATCTCTCTTAAAAATAGCTTACTCAGGGATGCTGGGGTGGCTCAGTGGTTGAGCATCTGCCTTCGGCACAAGGCATGATCCCAGAGTCCCTGGATCAAGTCCCACATCGGGCTCCTTGCATGGAGCCTGCTTCTCCTCCTTCTGCCTGTGTCTCTACCTCTCTCTTTACCTCTCTCTGTTTCTCATGAATAAATAAAGTCTTAAAAAAATAGCTTGTTCATTAAAATTCTTTATCAGTGATTCTAATTCTTTTTGCCCTGAGTGGTTTTTCTTTTCCTTTTTTTTTTTTTTTAAGATTTATTCATTTATTTGAGAGAGAGAGGGAGGGAGGGAGAGAGAGAGAGCACACAGAGGGAGAGGGAGAAGCAGTCTGCCCTAGGAGCAGGGATCCAGATGCGGGGCTTGATCCTAGGACCCTGGGATCATGACCTGAGCCAAAGGCAGACTTCTAACTGACTGAGTTACCCAGGCACCTGCCTGCCAATTGCTTTTCCTTTCTTTCTTTTCTTTTCTTTCTTTCTTTTTTTTTTTTTTTTTTTTGCCAATTGCTTTTTCTTATGCAAAGTGATTGATTCTTTTACAAAAAAATTATGAAAATACTTAAAATACAGAGAAGGTTGTCCTAATGGAAGAGATTTTGAAAAGCTTAGTATTTTTTCTTTCTCTTTTCATAGTTGAGCACATCTTATTTTCTGAAGCTTGAAAGTCTGTATTTTTATGAAAACAGTATCCTTCATTTCTATTACTTAGTGTGCCAAATAAAACAAGATGAGAATGGTTTTGTTTATTACAATTTAGTGTGATTATTTACTTTTACTCAGTTTTGGTTAATTAGTGTGTGTGGAAATAGTACATAAATTGAGGAGAAAGACTTGGAGAGCACTAGAATTTAGTTTCTTTCTTGATACAGTTCAGATTAAGTATATTTTTTAACACACTGTATTTAATGATACATATTTATCAGTAGGCGTATTGATATATATTTAGATAAATTGATACACATAAGAAAATATCAAAATATATGTATTATATGTAATACAGCATAATTATACACTCATATAATTTATTATGTATATACAAGATTATGTTATACTTTTCCTTTCAGAAACAAACCCCAAATTCCTCTTTCTTTTTTATTTTTGGATGGAAATAATTGTGATTATATAAAAAATATTTTCATGTTTACAGTGGGCTGTAAGAAAAAGCATATATAGTCTCTCCTTTTGTAGTAGTTGACAGCTTAATTGGTAAATGATAACCTGCTATACATATTGTATTGAGTACCTATGAGATTTTGACTTCTGGGTCTTAACGTTTAGGAAATTTATATGTTTAGGCCTGGCAGAGAGGTTAAGGATAATTTGATATGTTTATAGGAGCAAAAGAGATGATATATTTATAGGGTAAAAGATGAATTCTTGGTGCCTAGCTGCCTCAATTGGTAGAACATATGACTTTTGATCTTGGGGTTGTGTATTTAAGCCCCATGTTGGGTTTAGAGATTACTTAAAAAATAAAATCTTAAAAAAAAGAGATGGGATAATTGGAATATATGTTAATATATTTTAAGTTGCAATAAGTACATTTAATTATCTTGAGGGCGTATAATTTTTTTCTAGCTTCTATGAATATGGATCACCATAATGTTATTATTCATAGAAATGATAAAAAGACCCTAGTCTTTAGATGCTCTGCATTTCACCATTATTAATAGTTCTTACTTAATACCATACTTTATTTTTGAGACTTATAATTTTTCCACTTATTTCTTGGTTTTAAAAGCACAAAAGCACTATGGCATAGGTATAGAGACTCAGAGAGATAAGGAGAAAAAGTGATTCAACTCTGAGCAGCAGATAATATAATTGAGAACAAAATCATCTTGCTAATCTGCTTTTAAAAAGTATTTCTACTTAATTTGTTTCATTTGGTAAAATACAGTGCTGCCCACAATCGTGTGGAAAAAAATAAAACGAAAATATCAGTTAGTTCATTCCTAAACAATTTCCTCAACTGTAAAAATAAACTTCTTGATATTTTTCTCCTTTTATTTTATTGTGGTGAGTTTTATTTTCCTGAGAAGGCTATTATAAAGTAAAGGGAGGGATCCCTGGGTGGCGCAGCGGTTTAGCGCCTGCCTTTGGCCCAGGGCACGATCCTGGAGACCCGGGATCGAATCCCACATTGGGCTCCCAGTGCATGGGGCCTGCTTCTCCCTCTGCCTATGTCTCTGCCTCTCTCTCTCTCTGTGATGACTATCATAAATAAATAAAAATTAAAAAAAAAATAAAGGGAAAGATGAAATTCTTAGTGAGGCCAAAGATTCCCAAATGCTATATATTTTGTATTTAAAATGTTAATTTTGTCTAAGTAATATATACGCACACTTTAAAATCAAAGTTTTGCCATAAAGACTTCTGATGAAAAATGTCAGTCCCCTCTTCCACTCTTTTCTACCCTTTAGACCCATTCCTTAAAGGGAACCACAGTTTTAGAAATATTAATGTGGTGTCATTATCTAGTCTATTAATGTAAGGTATTATCTGGGATTTCCTCTTATGATACTTAAGGAGTTTACTTCTCTTACCATCTCCTTTCACTCTAAATTTCCCTCCCTGTCCTCTAAATGTGGTTATATCATAATTTTTGGCCAATTAGTAGTCAAAATTTACACTACTATGAAGTGTAATTGTTCACTGTAGGTGAAATATTGTACTATGATTATGTTTCCTTTCTTATGCTTATTTTTCTTGACTTTGTAAATGCCTTTTTTATTTGCTTTGTTTTCTTTGTAAATTTACCTTTAATTCTTTTCACTTACTACTTGAAATCTGTTACATGACTATCAGTATTACTTTCTAATTGCTCATACCCACCATTGGTCCCCACCCCAGACCCATTTTTCTCTTGAGATCTCCCTTTATAATGATTGTTTTTCAGGCCTGCTGCACAGTTGGCCTCCTGGAATTGGTCTTTTGTGTTTAATTCACTATTTTCTGGGTCCTTTGCCTTTCATTCTTTGTTAGTTTGTTACTTTGCTAAAATGTATCTAGTAGCTTTTAAGAAAGGATACATTGTATATAATTGTTAAAATCCTTTCAAGTCTGAAAGTCTTTGTTTACTTATAAACTTGTTTTAGGGATCCCTGGGTGGTGCAGTGATTTGGCGCCTGCCTTTGGCCCAGGGCGTGATCCTGGAGACCCGGGATCGAATCCCTTGTCGGGCTCCCGGTGCATGGAGCCTGCTTCTCCCTCTGGCTGTGTCTCTGCCCCCTCTCTCTCTCTCTCTGTGACTATCATAAATAAATAAAAATTTTAAAAAAAGGAATACAAAAAAAATAAACTTGTTTTATTTGGCTGGGAATAGAATGCTCGGTTTTAAATGAAAATTTTGAGAACAGTATCGTTTACTAAATGATATTACTAGGTTCTTTTGAGAAGTTTGATGCCAGTCTGCTCAACACATTGTTGGAAACATAAAAATCAGAAAATCTGTGAATCTTGCTGTCAATAACCTTACATTTTAGTTGAAAAAATAAGAAATATGCATAGTCATAAATAGGAAAAAGTGTTGAGTAACGTCAAAGAGGTATAGGATAAGAGTGGTAGGGGAGTTCAGAATGAACATATTATCTTAAGCCAAAGGGATCAGGGCAGACACTATGAAGATAAATATTTCAGCTAAGTCTAAAAGATGAGTTTGCAGAAAAGGAGAGAGGGTCTTCTGGTAGAGGGGACAGTATAGAGAGGGAAGTATAGAATAGGAGGAATAGGTAAGAATTTGGGAGTTTGATGGAGTAGCAGCTAACATTTATTGAGCATTTACTGTTTGTCATTCTTCAAAATGCTTCATATGTATTAACTAATTTAATAGTCATAATTCTAGGATATAATGCTATCATTGTTCCCAATTTACAGTTGAGACAGCTAAGTTAAATAACTTGTCCCAAGTCACACAGCTGGAAAATGATAGAGCTATAATTTGAACATACTCTGGCTCTATATAGATCCTGTATTTTTAGTTTTGTGCTATAATGGACTTTCATTTGTAACCAGTGGGAGAATCAGTAGGAAGTTTTCCTTTTTCTTTCTTG